TGGTGTTTGGTTGGCCGTGGGGAGCATTGAACTGTACCTGGCCTCTGATCCCAGCACCCTAAAAGCAATCTAAATTCCAAGGGAATTTGGAGCAGATAGTTTTCTGTCAATCCTTAAAGCAGAAAGTCTATGGGCTTTTTTGGAGAAAATCCCAAGTGTGATTTGGGACCAAATTAAACCCAGAGGGTTCTGCAGGAATGTTCTGGCCTTGGGATTGCAATGAATAGAACATTTTTGTGGTTCACACTGGAGGTCATGGGAGAGTCTAAAGGAAATATTGGAAGCCAGAATTGTAGTCCTTCAAACTGCTTGTCCCCAAAACCTCTGTATCACTGATTACTGAAGTATCACTTCAGTGGGAAAAGAATGGTATTGAGAAACTATTCTTTATGTGATTAACAAGGCTAATTACAACAAAGCACCTCTGAAGACAACCCTTTTAGAGATAGAGATAGCCAACTTTCAGATTTATCTTATCACCTTTCTGTCGAACTTGAGAAATATCCCTGAAAGGTTGTGTTCTCTTGCTTTGCTCTAGAATGAATTCATTGCACATTTCTTATTCTCCCCTAAATCTCTGCCTTGGAACAATCAAGTTTTCCTACTTTCAGTTCTTAGTACAGTCTCTCATCCGATGAAGTATCTTAGAATTTAAAATTCCTAATATATCTTTCTTCTCCTTAGATACTCTTGAGCTAACACCCATTATAAGTAGAAATTAAGGCCAAGTCATTCCATTGTAATGACAAAAAATATAAAATGAAAAAATATGCACAATACAAAACTAACTGGCCAGCAAGATAATCTAAGACTTGTCACACAAGAGGAAAATGCCCAGATACTGTGCTTTCCAATAGCTAGATAAGAATGTATACACAGTTAATCTAATTCTTCTGACAATTTAGAGAAGCCTTTATCTGGTTTAGCCTAAACACCAAAGAGAGCAGAGCTGGCACATATTCAGTGCATGCCTCTGAAAAGTTCATTGGCACATTCATCCCAATCTGCCTGAGACTTTGAGGTAACTATGACATTATCAGGCACTGGACTAGATTTTTTTCTTTTTTGCATAATGAATTCTATTTTCCTTCTTCATTAAGCATGAGGAGACATTGGATGTATAATGTAAGATTTTACGTTTGTAAAATACAAAGCGTTTACCTTTGTGAATGTATCTGGCAATACTAGGGTATAAACAACCTCCCAGTAGCAGTGGCTCAGAGTAACACATTTTATTTTTATTCATGTTACATTTTGCCTAAGTGGTAATTACAGTTCAGTTTTGCATGTCTTCTTTATTTTAAGATCCAGGGTGTAGGAACATTCCCTACCATGAAAAGAGAAATGATGGAGTCACTCGTTGGTTCTAAAACTTCTGCTTGGGAGTGGAACACAAAACTCCTGTTCACATTTCATTAGTCTAAGCAAATCACATGAACAAGTCTGATGTTAGGAGGCATGAGAATATAATCCTTACAGGGAGAAACAGCAAGTAACTGGGAACAATAATACAATTAAAGTGTATAATGTGTCTTAGGGTATAATTTGAAAGTGTAGAGAAGGGAAGAGCTACTCTAGAATTCTAACTGGAGATAATTCAAGTCCCCTATTCCCAGTAAAACAATGGCATGGTTTTTTTTCTTTTTCTTTTTTTTTCAGAATAGTTCTATTTTATGTAATTGCAGAAATGAACACCTCATTTCTCCAATGACAAAATAACATTCTCATAAAAATTTAAAAACTCACAAGATGGCATAAATAAGAAAGCAAAATTCATTAGAAAACATCTGGGTAAATATCTAGCAAAATGAAAAAATATATTGAAACAAAAACTTACACATAAATATATATAAATATTCATAATAGAAATATGCATTGTAGCTTAAAATTGGAAACATCTAAATGTCAGCAGGCAACTAGATAAATTATGGTATATTCATTCATTGGGATACTACTCCATAATGAAAAGAATATATGCAAGAGCATGAATGAATCTCAAAAACCTTACAGTGACTGAAAGAAGCCAGATAGGAAAACCACATGCTGTGTGGTTTCATTTATGTGAAACTCCAGAAAAGGCAAATCTAATCTAAGGCAATAAGTCTATCAGTGGCATCCTGAGACATGAAGTCAGCAGGGTTGATTAATAATGTTGAGGTATTTTTCATGAATTGTTAAGTTAGAAGAGTCCTTTATATATTCTGCATACCTGACCCTTTTAGAGAAATTATTTTCAAATGTTTTCTGCCATTCTATAAGTTTTCTTTCCACTTCTTTGATAATGTCCTTGATACTTAAAAGTTCTTAATTTTGAAGCAGTCCAATTTTTCTGTTTTTTGTTGTCGCTTTTGCTTCCAGTGTCATATCTAACAAAGCATTGCTAAATTCAAGATGATGAAGATTTACCTGTTTTCTTCTCAGAATTTTAGAGGTTTAGCTTTTACATTTAAATAATTGATCTGGGGATCCCTGGGTGGCGCAGCGGTTTAGCGCCTGCCTTTGGCCCAGGGCGCGATCCTGGAGACCCGGTATCGAATCCCACGTCGGGCTCTTGGTGCAAGAAGCCTGCTTCTCCCTCTGCCTGTGTCTCTGCCTCTCTCTCTCTCTCTCTCTCTCTCTCTCTCTCTGACTATCATAAATAAATAAAATAATTTTTTTAAAAAATCATTGATCCACTTTTAGATGGTGTAGTTAAGGGTTCAATTTCATTCTTATAATTGTGGATATCTGGTAGTTCTAGTACTATTTTGTATGTGTGTACCAGTACTATTTGTTGAAGAAACTGTTTTTATTTCATTGAATGGTCTTGGCACCACTGTTGAACATCAATTGGCCATAAATGTATGGGTGTATTTCTGAACTCTCAAGTCTAATCCATTTATTTATATGTACATCCTATGACAGTACAACAGTGTTTGATTACTGTCACTTTGTAGTAAGTTTTGAATTTGAAAATGTGAGTCCTTCAACGTTGTTCTCCTTTTTAAAGATTGTTTTGGCTATTGGGATCCCCTTACAATTCCATATGAATTTGGATTTCTGAAAAAAAAAAAGGCTGTTGAATTTTTGATAGTGATTACACTGAATCTATAGATAGCTTTGAGTAGTATTGCCATTTTAATAACATTAAGTCTTCTAATCCATGAATGTATCTTAGGTTATTAAACATAACAGCCTCATTATTATTTTTTCTCAAAACAACCTCTAATAGTAGTTTTTTTAAAAAATTTTTTTAATTTTATTTTTTGTATATTTTTTATTGGAGTTAGATTTGCCAACATATAGTATAATACCCAGTGCTCATCTCATCAAGTGTGCCCCTCAGTGGCTGTCACCTAGTCACCCCATCCTCCCACACACCTCCCTTCCACTACCCCTTGTTCTTTCCCCAGAGTTAGGAGTCTCTCGTGGTTTGTCACCCTCTCTGATATTTCCCACTCATTTTCTCTCCTTTCCCTCATAATCCCTTTCACTATTTATTATATTCCCTGAATGAATGAAACCATATAATGTTTGTCCTTCTCTGATTGATTTACTTCACTCAGTATAATGCCCTCCAGTTCTATCCACGTCGAAGCAAATGGTGGTATTTGTTGTTTCTAATGGCTGAGTAATATTCCATTGTATATATACACCACAGCTTCTTTATCCATTCATAATAGTAGTTTTTATTCTCCATTTGATCTAAGAATTATTCTTTAAAATGTTATCTTAAGATTTCTAAGAGATTTATTGCTTGGACTTTTTTTTACCTATTGCATTGGGACTAGGTATATCTACTTTAAATATTTTGATGCCATAAATATAAAGATTTGTGAGTACCTTTAGATTGTACTATTTATAAAAATAAAATGCCATTTAAAATCTCCATTTCTTGTTTACACTTCTAATTTATCTGTCATTAATGTTGTCAGTCCTTTTATTTTGTCTGTCTTTGCCTGATATATCTCATCTTTTTATTTTCAAAAGTTATATCTTTAGATATGTCTCTAGCAAACATAAATTAATTGACTTTTTTTTTTTTAAAAAAAAACCTAACCTGTTAGTGTTTTGTCTTTTAATTAAGAAAGATAATGCATCCACTTTCTTGGTGTTAATTGATATTTAATCATATTCCTATCATTATGTTTTGTTTCTTTTGTTTGTATCCTGAGAAATATTCTTTTTATATCTTTTGTTTTCTTTATTTTTATTTGCAAAAACATATTTTACTCCCCTTTTCTGCTGATATTCTAGAATTTATTCATATTATTTTTAGTCTATTATATTTTTAAAAACTTTTCCATTATTTTGGTGCCAACTTTAAGAATGAAACAGAATCTATGAGATTCTTCTCTTATCCCTAAATGAAACAATGATGTAAGCACAATTATCTTCCATATTTCGTTCAATCTGTATTACCAGTTATATATATATTCCAATATATATATATATATATTTTATATATATATATGTAAAATATATATATATGTATATATATATGTAAAAATATATATATATTTTTACATTATAAACATCCTCTTTCAAGAACCTATTTTTAACATTTACATTAAGCTCCACAAGCATATTAACAATAATAATTATTTAGAATAAACTAAGTTTTACTGGGTTCATTTCTCATATTTTTTTTTTCTTTATCACTCTCTTTTGGATGTGTCCCAGTTAGTTTTCTTTTTCTTTATTTTATTTATTTTTTTTGAAATGTGAGGTCAACATAATATTCTGGACCTCTGGGAATGTAAATGTGTACCTTTGATAAGTTTCTACAATGTTTGAACAATGTTTAAATATGAATGCCTTAAGCCTGGCCATGCTTTCTAGCTTATCACAATTTCCATTGTTCCCTTCTGTCTGCTTGATTTATCTGCCTGCATTGCAGTTTTTGTTTATAAATTCTTTCTAAACCTTCTTAGACCACATACAGTTTAAAATATCCAAATGTTTAAAATATGATTCCAGGTTCTTACATTGAGTGATACTCTTTTCTTTCCTGCATTTAGGCTTTGGAAGATCAGGTATGGGAACTCTTGCAGGAAGCAGACAAGACAGCTGAAGAGAACAAGGATCAGAGTCAGGTCTATGATGCCATGGCCAACACTTTGGGTGAAGCATGGGCAGCCCTTGTCTCCATGCTTGAAAGAAGAAGGGAGCTCCTCAGGTTGACCTCTGAATTTTTTGAAAATGCATTGGAGGTTTGTGTTTTAAAAAACTACCTTCACATCAGAGAAAATAGCACTCCTGAAAATGTTTTATTTCCACAAATTGACATTGCAATCAGTTTTAAAAATGGCAGAGCAACCAAGTTATATACAATACATTTAATTTTTGATTGCCAAAACATAAAATGGTTAATGCTTTAAATGTAGCCCTTCAAAAAAAGCCCCTAAAGGGGCACCTGTGTGGCTCAGTTGGTTAAGCATCTGCCTTTCACTCAAGTCATGATCCTGGGTTCCTGGGATCAAACCTGGCGTTGGTGTCAGACCCCCAGCTCAGTGGGGAGTCTGCTTCTCCCTATGCCCTCTCTTTCCTTGTGCTTTCTCTCAAATAAATAAATAAATAAATAAATAAAATCTTAAAAAAAAACCCTCAGTACAGCTAGTTAAAATTAAGTAAAATATTAAGTAAAAATAGAAACTTATCCCTAAGTCACTATGATTTATTACTTTCTTTAGAAGATGGTAATACAATTACTAAATCAAATAATTATCCCCGATTTTAGTATAATTAAGAAATGTTGGTCTAAAGCGTTCTTGTTGACTAAAAGATGGAGGATAGAATTTCTTCTGCTATTTATGAAAAGGCAATTGCAGAATATTCCATAGAATATTTGACTTATAAGCATAGCACTTTACAGAATACTTTGCTAAGGCATTAACTGGATTCATGGTTTAAACTCATTAAAAATTTAAGGAAAGGAAAGTTCTGGACCTAAGAAGGTCATTTCTTCCTGTGACTTTTCCTGAATTCTGAGATTTTTTTTGCAGTTCCCAATTTCAAAATTCGAGACTCAGAGAACCTTATCAAAAGAGCTGTTGTATTTGGTGTAAGACAGTTATTGGAAATTTCACTTTTAACTTCTCTGTCAAGTGGCAGTACATTCATTTTGATGTCAGAGCACTGCTTCATTATGATAAAGCTCTAGCTTTGAAAAATATGACATTTCCAAACTCAAAATTCAGGTCTTAAATCCAAAATAACGAAGGAAGGAAGATTAGTAATAGAACATAAAAATTGGGGTAGATAATCTCATGCATCATGAACTCCTTTAAAAGTAAAAAGAAGTAGCAAAAATCTTGTAGCTTTTAAGTTTTGTTTTCCACAGTTTGAATACAGAAGTCCAGTTACAATTCATTTTACAGATCATCTTGGGAAAAAGCTTCATGCATAGTTTTCTTTCCTGAACAGAAACTAGGTGAAATGTACCTACAGGGTCATATTGTAGATACATCTGATTCATTCCATCTTAGTAAGTTGGTTACTGATGTCAACTGCCCTTGAAATTCAACTCATTTGAGCACAGGAAATTATCTTTCTTAAAACATTAGGCCCAACATTTGTTTCCCATGGCATAGTACCATTAATGCTAGCTGATGGGAAGTTATTTCCCAAGAAGATATTACATGAAGTAAAAGGGAATACTAAGCCTAATAATAATAATAATAATAATAATAATATTGTATGAATAATAATACTAATAATACTAATTATACATAATACTAAATCATACTAATAATCCAGCCTCTAATTTTTAGTGAAAAGATACTGTTTCTTATATTATCCTCCTTCCAATATTGTGGGTCAGTTAGTACTAACCTGAAGGTAAACTCCTACATAATCTTTCCTGCCTCTTGTATTGCCAAAACTTGTATTGCTGATTTTAAAAAAAATATATGAGAATAGGGTCTTTACATAGTATCCCACTATTACTACTCCTATCCTGTGCAAGGTGCAAAAAGAAAAGTGAGCAAAAGGATATATCCATAAAGTAAAAGTTAACAGAAGTTTAAGGAAAACTTTTGAAGAAAAGCATTATTTGTTTATTTAATTTCAAATAACAATTGAAATATAGGTATAAGTTACACAGTGACTCTAAAACATTTTGTAATGTTCTACAGAGAAAAACCAAATCACCCTCTAGGGTTGGTTTTATATGTTTGTTTGTCTTGAAACTTCTCTTTAAAAAACACCCTTAAAATAAGCTATTAGAAATGGAATGAATTAGAGATGTAAATGATGTGTGGGAAGGATCCCCTTATTGAACTATGATGCATGCAGTTCCATTAAAATGTGAAATGACTTCTTATTGCATGGTTAATAATTATTACAGGACTGTTTCAGATTCACACACTTAACCATCAGATTATTCAAACACCATGCTGTCAGTAACTGGTATCCACCAGATTGTTCTAACATGATGGTGAAGCCTCCTCCAAGTTTCCAAAGGCGACATGCTCATTAGTCTCTCTTTCACCATTCCATGCCATCTATAACTGGATTTTATGAGACTATTGAAATAATCAAAGTATAGTAGATCTTATTAATTGAATAGTTACATAAAAATATTAAAGATCATTGAATTCATAGATGGTAGTTTGGAAAAAAACTTGAAAAAAAGACAAGCATGTGATAAGCTTTTGTGTCTTTCTCATCAATACTTTACCTTTATGAGTTTATTCAATACCTGATACAAAGGTAAACATATTGATTAAACTATTCCTATAAACTATAATAATTCCTTTTGAATCTGAATGCTAGAACAAAGCTTCCATTTTCTAGCTACACTACTACTATGCCATTATCATCAGTGTACTGTACTGGTAGAACCAAATGTTATACCCTTTTCTAAAATTTGTTTCTAAATTTCCCAGAGAATTTTAATATCACTTCAAATGCCTCCCTCCCTTTCATATTTCCTCCAAGGAAATATGAGTCAGAGAAATGGGTCATATTCCTCACCACTTAGAATGTTATTGCTTCTTCTTCTTCTGCTGCTGCTGCTTTTTTTTTTGAAGCAGAGAAATTTTCCATTTTTCATTCTTGCTGTATCTAATCTCACTTTTATTTATATAAAGAATGCATAAGATCATTGATAAAAATGCAAACAAAATTACAAATGGTAGATTCAGAAGGTAAAAGTTCACTGCCCCCTATTCTTAATCTCATTTCTTCTCATAAGGTAATCCTTTGGTGTTATCTCTTCAGATCACTTTCTGTACAAAAATATATTTTTTTGTTTTGTATAAGAAAGGGGATTAAACATTACTTCTTAGCCTTTTTGTTAAGATCAAGTGTAGAAATGGGGTTAGACTTGTGTTATTTTAGAAGTTATATTTTTTGGTTCTAAGTCTAATCACAGAGGAAAATGTTAACTGTATTTCAACTTTCCTTCTAAGTGGGTTCTTAAGTAATATTTACTTATAATTACATAGGTTACTGGTTAACCAAACTTTTATTATTATTATTTTATTATTATTTATTGTTGTTTTTTGTGAACTTTCTGGTTATTCTTTGACAAACTGCTTTACGTGTTGGAAGTGGCTGCTTTATTCCATAGACACAATGATTTTAGTTGAAGATTTCAATAGACACTTACCAGTAAACAAGTTAAATTATTTCAGCATATATGACATATTTCCAAGTATAAAAAAGAAATACAAAGGAAGGAAAAGAAAGTTCTTTGGCACTTTGTAAATTGACTACATGTGAACACATAACTTCATACAAACACCCTAAATCCACACACATGCACACAAAACATACATCATCATTCAAACACACAAACACAGAAACACATATACAGTCAGCTAGGATATGAATTCATGAAAAACATCTACAAATAACCCAAAGTGGCACATTGATTTTTTTCAAATGTCTTTCCCTTGTATTTGTGTTGTAGTTTGCTATTAAAATAGACCAAGCTGAAGATTTCCTCCAGAACACCCAGGAGTTTGAAAGTGCTGAGTCCTTAAAGGCACTTCTTCAGCTTCATGAACATCATACCAAAGGCAAGAAATACATTTATTCCTCGCATAAGCTTTTAGAGGCTTTATAATATGTTCATGTGACAATGCTCATGTGTGATAGTGTATTTTAAATTTATATGTTTATACCTCAAATTGTTCCAAGAAAGTTTAGTAAAGGTTTATTTTTGGTCATCTACTCCAAAAAAAGACATAGTTGTAAATGGTTTTAAGGGGATGTTAGAGGAACAACCACCAGAGATTCAGTTACTCAGTCTGCTAGATTTTAGCTCCTGAGGTCATGGGTCATGTCCACCTTGTTCTTCCTTGTATACTCAGCACCCAGCATGGTGCCCACACATGGTAGGTTCCCGGGGAAGATTTCTTGGTTAGATAAATGGTTGAATTTGGTTGAATTCAGTGAATTTCCCTTATCAAGGTCAGGAAATGAAAATTAGCCTTTAAATAACAGCACTAGTTAAGGAAAATTCCTTTCACTATTAAGTTATTTTTTTTAAAAGTGGATGGTGGGCTTTTTCCTCAGGAAGCCTACAATTTGGTTAGGGCATGTCCACATTTATTGGTGAGTTACCTCTCTGTTTCCTGTAGGTTGCTGTTATACCACCCAGCATACTATGTAGTAACAATTCATTTCCATATTTGTCTTTATCACCAGATTGTGGGACTCTAGACAGCAGGCGTTAGTACATATCTGAATCGCCATGATGTAGAATAGTATCCAACCCAAAGGATGTTTATTGAGTGTCATTTGTATTTAATTCCAATGTAAGACACAGTACGATGATACAAACTGGAGCAATGAACAAGGCATTTCAGGGACATTAAGGAGGAAAAAAATGGATTCTAAGCTCTGAAGGTTCACAACTGAACCGTCCAGTTTTCCAATGTCTTCTTAAAATGAACATAATACTGGAGAAGCTTCCCTACAGGAACAATCATATTGTTACTTCCTTGTTCTTAAATGTTCATAAATATATATATTTTAAATGTGGCTGAGATATAGGCTCATTGGAGTCTATTATCTATTTTTTCTACTTTTGTGTATATTTGAAAGTGCCTGTTGAATGAGTTTAGGAAACAACATCCCACTGAGGAACACTTGGAATATTTAAAAATGTTTTAGGAAGAAATATCACCCATGATCTCATTCCCAAGACTTTGATATTTTTTAGAAATTAGTCTTTGGAAATATTGCTTAGTAAGTTATAAATTCACTTAAGTTATGTACATCCCTCATTTATCCATCTTGAATTTGTTATTTATACTTAATATGGCAAACTGTATAGATGTTAGGATAAAATCTGCCTTAATACAAACTTTCTTAGATATAATCAAAATCAAAACAAATAATAAAAATTTATTAAATATCTATTTGTCTCAAATCACAAGGCATTATATCAGAAAGTAGGGTTTTATGTATGCAAAAATGTGATTTTTAAAATAAATACACCACAGAGATTTTGCATTTCTTGAAGTTCACGATATTCTATCTAGACAGTTTACCCTTGAGGAAAAATGCATCATTTTGTACAATCAGCTCGTGGAATAAATAGCTAGGAAAGTATAAACAATAAAAAAAGGTTAAGATACGAGAAACCAACAGAGGAAGAGCCAAAGGACCAACAGAGGAAACTGAGGGAAAAATTTGTCCACTTTAATGGCTATTATGGTAGCAGTACTGGACTGATTTTAGCTTGGGTACAGTTTACAAGTAACTTTGGCCAGAGACTCCATTCCTAATGGTACTTGGTAGTAGTCATACTATTTTGGCAGATATGAAACAGAAAATCACAAAAAGACTGCAAATAGAAATTTGGGCTAATTGTAAGTATCCTGGAAGAATCAGAACAGGCACTGTCAGTCTGCAATGTCCTAACACTTAAAGCTATGCTTTCCTCTCTCATTCGAAATGTCTAGTGTGTATGAACTAGTTATGGAAAGGTAGAAAAGAAATACTACGTAGAAACCCTGCCACTTGCCCACATTTCCTCCGTGTGTGTGTGTGTGTGTGTAACTTTTCACAATATCATAACAAACTCTTTGATGCAAGGAAATATGTAGCCATAAATACGGAGAATCAATCATACTGATTATCACATAGGTTATACAAATTAAAACTCTTCAGTTTATCACACAAGGCCCTCCATAACCTGTCTTCATCTCATTTTCAAGCTCTTTCTTTCTACATAAGAATTGCTCTGGAGAGGTAGGTTTGTTTTTTTTGTTTTGTTTTGTTTTTCCTGTCCTTGCCTCTGCCATCTTGTTCATGTTTGCTTCCATGTCTTTGAGAGATTTATTCTAATGTTCTCCCTGTCTTTTCTTACTGTGTTTGAATGATCTCATTCCCTTTTTGGCTCAGGTTGTTTTTGTCATTTGTTTCATTGCATCATTAGCTCCCCATCAGATTGCCCAGTGCACATAAGCACGCCTTGCTCACTCTGAGCAGATAACACCATCTAATACTTGGACAGATCTAGGTCATGTGACATAAACTACTTCAAATTCTTTCCTTTTCACGTCAAACTCTCTCTTCACAATATCTTCACTTATCTCATTCTCTCTTCCAGCTCTTCAAAAAAAAAAAAAAAAAGTATTAAAGAGAAACCTGGCCCAACTACCACAGTCTCGTTATTGCTGTGCGGTTAACTGCCGAAGGTTAGAGTGCTAATGTAGAGTGCCATGGGAGATTGGAAAGAACATTGAGCTTCTAATCAGAATAGGTGGCTTTTAGCACAGCTTAGTCCACTTCTAGTCGTGTGATGCTTGGTGAGGTACTTAGTCTCTGGGTGTTTTCCATAGTTCTCCCTGTCCTAAAAAATAAAAAGCAATATATTCAATCTTGCTGAGATTCTCTTCTTTTTTTTCTCCCCTCTAACAGCAAATGCCTCAAAGATTCCCCTGTCTTGTTGACTTCAGTTCATCACTATGTGCCCACTTCTCAACCTGGTAACTTGGCTTCTGTTTCCATCACTTTCCCATCACAAAACCCCATGCCTTCTCAAAGTCTTTTTTACATCTATAGAGAACTGCTGATCTCTAGTACCTGTAGTTCTCTTCATTCTTCCCCCTAACTTAATACATTTGATCTCATTCAAGCATTCTGCAAAAATTGTTGAACATCTCACCTATGGAAATCACTATGCTAAGTGCTGGGGATAGTGTCATGGCCACTGTCCTCATATTGCCTGGGAGCCTGGTGGCAAAGGGAGATATTAATCAACTAACTCAACACATAGGTATAAAACTATAGTTGTGATAAGAACTATTAATGAGAACAATTAATAGTATTTGATTTGGTATAGGATTGGATATAGGATTTTTTAAAAAAATTATTTATTTATTCATGAGACACACAGAGAGAGGCAGAAACACAGGCAGAGGAGAAGAAGGCTCCCTGCAGGGAGCCTGATGCAGGACTCGATCCCAGGACCCCGAGATCATGACCTGAGCTAAAAGTAGATGCTCAAGCACTAAGCCACCCAGGTGCCCCTGACATAGGATTTTGATTCAGTCTGGTTTATTTCTTGAAGAATTGGCAGTTGGGTATGACATGAAGTTTGAGTAGAATAAGGGTGGAGAAGAAAGGGCTTGAGAAGGATAGTGTCCCTGTAGAGGAGTGAGAAGTTCTGGGTCAGAAGGGAATGTCAGATTTGTGATGTACTTAAAAGAGAAGGATGAAGAGTAGCGAGATTGAGATAATCTGAAAGGGATGATAGGAACCAGACCTGCCAGACCTAAAATCATGTCAAGGGGTCTGTCCTTAATTCTAAAGGAATGGGAAACCATTGTTGTGTGTGTGTGCACGTGTGTGATATAGTTTGTTCAGAAAAGATCTGTCTGGCTAACATATGGAGAATGGACAAATGGATTGGAGAAGGCTACAATAAAGAGGCGGTTGCCCAGGTCACCTCGGTGGCTCAGTTTTTGAGCATCTGCCTTAAGCTCATAGTATGACCCCAGGGTCCTGAGATCGAGTCCTGCATTGGGCTCCCTGCATGGAACCTGCTTCTCCCTCTGTCTATGTCTCTGCTTCTCTCTGTGTCTCTGTGTCTCTCATGAATACATAAATAAATCTTCAAAAAAAAAGAGGTGACTACCCAACAAATAATATTTTCTGTAATAGGGATGGAGAGCAGTAGACACATGCAGAAGATAGAGGGGAGAATTGACAGCTGTTGATAACGAAGGAGAGGAATGTGTCATGGATGACTCCTGGGTCATAACCTTTAAATATCAGAATTAGTCCATTCACTTCAGGCTGTAGAACATGTCAAGAGGTGCAAGCAGCTTAACCACATCATTAAAAAACCAACTGAAACAGTGTCAGAGTCCCTCGATATTTCCCCTGTACTGATTTACCTTATCACTGAACTGCAGCATCCTATTGTTTGGCAGTTAGTGCTACAGAAATTGTTAAGTCATGGTATCTGACCAGTTGTATTTCTATTTATGCGTTTGGATTCCTTACGGTACAATTTATTGTTAACATAAAGGTTACATAAATTTTAAATTATACCAAGAATTTGAATATTACTATAGAAAAGCTAGCTCATATTGCTATTCTTTTTTCCTTCTAATTCTCTTCTAGAACTCTTAGAACGATCTCTAGCCTTATTAAACAAAAGCCAACAGCTCACTGACTTCATAGAAAAATTCAAGTGTGATGGACCTAATGTGAATCCTGAGTTGATTCAGGGAGCTCATAACAGCTGCCTGAAGATTGACAGTCTTCTTGAGCTTCTACAAGATAGGAGACGGCAACTTGACAAGGACTTGAAGCACCAGCGGCAAGATCTGGGTCAGGTTTTGCAGTTATATCAGTGGGACCAGCAAGAAAATGAGGTAACCCAAAGGGGAGTTGACTATGTCCTGACCTCACCTAATTAACTTTGATTATTATTATGTGGACTAGCTGTTTCCTGGGATAGTTCCTCAGTTGTTATGGTCAAATTCTTTGGTCTTTGGCCCAAACTAACATGTTGTTTTCCCACACAAAGATTTTTATTTCCTCTCATCATAATATTGCTTTTATAAATGGGAAAATACCTGTGGGTAGTTTTGAAAATGACTGCGTTATATTTTTGGATTCTCTTTCTCACTTCCCTCCAGGTTACTACTTTTAAACATAATTCTTTGAAATTCTGAACTATAGATTGTAGCTTTCTTGAAAGTTGGGAGGCATGGTGACGTTGAACTGTAGTACCACATTGCTGCTAATGCCAGTGAAAAAGTCTGTCAGTCCCAAAGAGTGTTCTTAGAATGGTCTGGTGACAAGGAAGAAATATGACGTTGGCCTGTGACTGGATGCTCAATGGTTAGAGGGCTTTGGGGCAAGAGGTCCAGGCTTGTTTGAGCTCATTACCCCAACTGCAAACACAGCTTTGATCAGTTGTCAACATGCTTGCCACGCACTCCTTTTGTCCCAATTCCTTAATGGTGAGCATGGATAGAACTCTCTTTGCAAACCTGCAACTTAAATAGGTGCAATGGTTACTGCAGTATTTTTTACTGTCCCAGTCCCACACTTAAATCTGTACAGAGTAAATGGAGGGAATTTTCAGGGAGAAATACGTAGAAGGGGTCTCCTGATCTGGATGCATGGGGAAAGGGTCTCTTCACAGGATTTATATTGGTACTCTGATGCAGACTGGAGAGACAGACCTGTAACTGGGAGCATATATGAGGCCAGGAGAAACTGGTTCTTATTTTAAGCTGGAAAAATGAAGACATCAATGATGATCAACCCTTCAGCGTGTATTTATCAAGTACCTACCATATGCCAGGTGCTATTATAGGTACTGGGAATAACAACACACGAGACGAAATCCTTTTCTTCCAGGAATTTTTCTAATGCAGCTTCTCAACCTTAGCACTATTGACAGTTGGTGCTAGATAATTTTGGGGGGCTGTCCCGTGCACTCTAGAATGTTGAGCAGCATCCCTGACCTTACTCACTAGATGCCCAAAGAATATCCTTCAGTTGTGACAACGAAAAATGTCTCCAGGCACTGCCAAATGTCCCTGGGGGCAAAATTACCCCCAGATGAGAACCACTATGCTAGTGTAATTAGAAAGACATACATAAACAAATGAACAATGATAAGTGCTATAAAGAAAACCAAATAGGGCAATGAATTTGCCTTGTGTTGGTCTACTTTTAATCAGAGAAGGCCTCTCTGAGGAGGTGGCATAGAGCAAAGACCCAAATGGAGAGGCCTCCAGTCATACATTCTGCTTAAATTTTATCGCCGCCCCCTCAAGTCACCATATACTTTCCAACCCACCTCCACGCTCAGCCCTTTTGCCTGGTCTACTGCCAACCACGGTCTTGCCTCTGCTGTGTTTTACCTGCCAACCCTCATCCACTCCTCAGTTTAGATCTTTGCCCATCCCACCTTTACATGTTCATTACCCAGAATACTATTAACCCAGTGCAATAGTCTTAGTGATGATTCTGACAGAACAAAGGAAAATTAATGCTTAGGACAAGAATCAACTTAAAATTGTTTATCAGACAAGCATTTCCAAAGTTCCCTGTTTTCCCTATCGTAAGTGAGTCCATTATAATACTCTCTTTCTCTCTCCCTGTCCTTCCCTTCTCTCTCCTAATCCTAACCTGACCACATGTTCTGAGAGCTACTGTGCCCTTCAAGAAACCTTTCTCTTGTCTCTTTGCATTGAGTTCCTAATCCCAAACCCCTACCTCTAGGGCTTCCAGGTTTCAAAATGAATATTTTAACCCAGTCACATACTTAAGGGAAATCCAGGTACTTTGTCATCCCTGGAAATCAGAAAGACATCGCGATGATAACTAAAGTAAGGTATTGCAGAAGGTTTCTGACTTGCTGAATCCTCTAACTTATGGGGTCTCATCTTTCTTAGAGTATGTGTTTTGGTATGAGTATGTGGAAGAGTATGTGTTTTGACTGAGGAGGTGCTTTTTAAAAGTAGACTTCATTCTTTAGAGCAGCATTAGACTCACGGTAAAACTGAGTGGAAAGCACAGAGTACCCTCTCTTGCCACACAAACACAGTGTCTCCCACTATCACCATCCTGCACCAGAGTTGTACATTTGTTACAATCAGTGAACCTGCACTAATACATCATTATCACCCCAAATCCATAGTATACATTAGGGATCACTCTTGGTGCAATATGCTCCCTGGGTTTAGTCAAATGTATGACCTGTATCCACCATTGTAGCATACAGAATAATTTCACTGCCCTCAGCATCCTTTGTGTTTTGTCTATGCATCCCTCCTTCATCCTCATCCTTGGCAGCCACAGAACTCTTTACTGTCTCCATAGTTTTGCCTTTTCCAAAATGTCATATAGTTGGAAGCAGGATGTAGCCTTTTTGGATTGGTTGCTTTCACTTAGTAATTCACATTTAGGATACCACCATGTCTTTTCATGGCTTGATACCTCATTTCCTTTTAGTGCTGAATAGCATTCTGTTGTCTGTATTTGCCACAGTTTATTTATCTACTCACCTACTGAAGGAGATCTTGGTTGCTTGCAAGTTTTGGCAATTATGACTAATGCTGCTTATGGATTCATGTACAGATCTTTTTTTAATTTTATTATTTATGATAGTCACACACAGAGAGAGAGAGAGAGGCAGAGACATAGGCGGAGGGAGATGTGGGATTCGATCCCGGTCTCCAGGATCGCGCCCTGGGCCAAAGGCAGGCACCAAACCGCTGCACCACCCAGGGATCCCCTCATGTACAGATCTTAGTGTGGACATAAATTTTAATTTCATTTGAATAAATACCAAGGGATGTACTGCTGGCTCATATATAGTAAGAGTATGTTTATAAGAGACTGCCAAACCATCTTCTAGACTGACTGTATCACTTTGCATGCCCATCAGCAATGACAATTCCTGTTGCTTCACAGCCGAGCATTATCAGTATTATCAGTCTTGGACTTTGGCCATTCTGATAGGTGTATAGTGGTATCTCAGTGTTTTAATGAGTCTCATCCTTAAATTGGGAATAATAATTCTTAATTCACAGAGTTGTTCTAAGGATTAAATGAAATAACACGTATAAAACATGTAGCAAAATGCCTAGCATTCTAAGAAGTACTTAAAAAATACTAGTTTTCTTGTCCTCCCTTGCTTTGGTTAAGCTTACAACCTATGAATTCTTTCTCATCTGGTCCATAATCTTTCCCTTGGGCTTGGCATTACTGTTGGTAAAATTGTCAATGTCTCTTAATGCCATTTATTTCTCAGTGGATGCTCTAGGTAAAGTAAAGCTTTAAAAATGAATATTTGTGGTTAAGAGAACTGGGCTTTCAATTAGACTCCATTCCTAAGAGTCCCAAACCAAAATCAACTTTTAAAATAATAATACAGATAAATGTTATTTTTATTAAAATTGGCCAATAAAGAAGATAGTCATTTCTTTAAATATAAAATTTAGGCTCTTAAAAACACCCCATGTTATGTTTTCTCTTGTTAACACTAGTGATGAAAGCTGGAGTAGTTAATAAAGTAACTTGCTTCTGTGTGCTAGCTTGTAAGAGCAAAGATACTGGGTCCAGACTGTTGGCTGAGTTAAAGTCCCAGCACCACCACTTTACTAGCTGAGTAACAGCAATTATTTAACCTCCCTCAAAATCAGGTTTCTGTATATGATTACCTACTTCAAAGCATTGTTAGGATTATCAAACAAGTTATTATATGCCAAGTGCTTAGAAGAGTACCTGCCACATGGTAATTGCTATATTGGTATTTAGCATTTTTTGTTATCCTGTCTGAAAAGGATAGTGAAGACCCAACATATTGCCTACTCCCATACTCCTGCCCCCCTCTACCACCATGCTCAAGGAAAAACTATTCTTGCATTAAAGGCTGATCTCATTGTTTGTCTTGAGTTTAAAAGGTATGATTAAATAAAACTTTGATGATCTCAATAGCCATACTTGTTTGATGGACATTCAATTAGTAGTTTAAAACAAAGAGAGGGGTCCCTGGGTGGCTCAGTTGGTTAAGTGTCTAACTCTTGATTTCAGCTTAGGTCATGATCTCAGGGTTGTGAGGCTGAGCCCCATATCAGGCTCTGTGCTGGGCATGGAGTTTGCTTAAGATTCTCTCTCTGTCTCTCTCTCCCTCTGCCCACTACCCGCACCCCTCTCCCTCTTTCCTTCTTTCTCTCTCTCTCCATCTCTTAAAAAAAGTCACATTTTTTTCTGCTTGTCACTTAATAATGCTCATTTGTTACAAATGTCGATCAGACCACCATTCATATAGATAATTGCTGCTGGCATTTGGCTTACTGCCTCCTTCTAGACCTTTATATAAGCATGAGCACAGCCACAGGCACACACACATTTGTTAAAGAAACACCTAACCAAACAAATAAAAATTAATGGAATTAACTTATACATGCTGTATTATTACTTGATTAGTTAATTGAACAAATCATAGGTACGTTCTTGGTCAAAAGTACAATAAATAATTTTAATATAATATTTCACTATTTGAACATGCATAGTTTTTTTTCATAAAATATGGTTAGTATACAATGTTATATTAGATTCAGGTGTACTATAATGTTTTGACAGTTCTATATGTTATGTGATGCTCATGCTCATTAGGATAAGTGTAGTTACCATCTGTCACGATATAAAACCATTATACAATTTAAACAAAATCTTATTGATGAGAAAGTAGAGTCCCCCCAGTTTCTCAATATTATAAACAATAATTAATGCTTATTGTATTGATTATTGTGTGAACAAGGAAGTATTTTAAAATTCAGGTAGATACAAGCATAATTATCTTCCCTAAGTTTTTAAGATTTTTTGGAATGTTCTATTTTAAAGTTTT